CTTGTAAATATTTTCGAGGGGCACACCAGGCTCTCAAAAAAAAACGAGCGGGGGCTCGCGTTTGCCATCAGCGGATCGCCATCCCCGCCGCTCCCTTCCCACGCCGGGGTCCCTGCGGTGGCACCCGAGCTCCGGGGCATTCCAGCGGCCACCCCAACGAAGGCGATGGCCCTCAAAACCGAGCGAGTTTTTATCATCACACAGCCACACGGGGTCGAGAACCACGTCGCCCCCACTTCGCGGAGGCCTAAACCTCCGCACGGGGTTTTTGCACGGGGTTTTCGCCCCCGTCCCCCGGCTTTTTCGCTTCGTCCCCGGCCGCAGCTGCTTCCCCTTACCTGAGTTTCCGTGAGGCTGAGGCTGTGTGCCAGCTGTTTTCTCTCTGCTCCTACTACATAATGGTTCTTCTCAAAGGCATGTTCCAGTCTCAGTAATTGGGATGGGGAGAAAGCTGTACGGATCCGTTTGGGTTTCCTGGCCAGTGCGTTGTGCAATAGGAAGCTCTCCGGGCTGGTTTCATTCCCTGGGCAGCAGGGCAAAACGGGGATTAGCAAAACACCTTCCCCAAAAGCACTCGAGAGGAGTTTTTAGCGCAAGAATTTGGGTCTCCCACCATTACCCGCCGGAGAGCTCTGCCTCTTCTTTCTCCCTCCCTTCCTCCCTCTTTCTCTCTCTTTTTCCCTTTTTTATTCAGAAAGCGACTTTAAAAAAAATATTATTTCTATAACTAGGTGCAAGAAATAAGTAGGGAAAGGAGAGAATTGGGAGAAAATCAAATCGTAAACATGAGGCAGGCAGCACTATTAAAAACACACGCAAAAAAAAAAAAAAAAAAAAAAAAAAAAGTAAAGGAACTGGCCAGAGCCTGGCTGCGGTGTCTGCGGCTTCATCCTACAGCTGCCCTGCTCTCTCTCACCCACGGTATCTCTCTGTGTTTGTTTGCTTATTTATTTCCTGGGAGGCAGGGCAAGGCTCCGAGCGCGGCCCCGGCACGGCCCGGCCCGGCCCAGCACGGCTCCGCTCCGCCGCCGGGCCCTGCGTCCCTCTCCGGGGCTTCCTTCTCCCCTTCGCCCCCCTCGTCCCGGGGGGGGACAAACTTCGGGGAGGCCCCGGTGTGCCCACCGGAGCCGGCCTGCTGCGGAGCAGGGATTTTTATTTTTTTTTCCTTTTTATTTTTTTTTTTATTTTATATACAGGTATTTTTTTGGGGGGTGGGGGGTCGCCCTCCCGGCTGGCCCCTGCATCTCCTCAAATCGGTCCATCCAAGGTGGAAAACCCACCGAGGGGCTCTCCCCGCAAGTGCCTTAAAAATCGTTGCAGCAGCAGCAGGAGGAGGGTGTGTTTGGGAGCAGGCTGTGGCTCAACACCGGGACGTTTCCGCCTTTCATCTCCCGCTCCTTCCCAATCGCCTGATGGCTGTGACAAATAATTTGGTGAGCGAAACCTGTAATTTTATTCTGCGAGGGTAATAATCCAGCTCGTATCTCGGTCCGCCTGGCTTCGGGGAGAGCGGCTCCTTTTCCAGCCCGGCTGCAGCGGCTGCGGAAGGCCAGGGAAAAAAGGGGGCTCGCAGGTGGTTTGTTTTCGTTGGGAAATAACAAATAAAATTTGAAAAAAAAAATAATAATAATAAAAAAAAAATCAGATGGAGTCCTCCGAGAGGAAGCTGATTTTTTTTTGTTTGTTTGTTTGTTCGCTGGTTTAACGAAAGAAGCAGGGACTGGACCCATTACGGGAGGAAATCTTCTCCCCCTTCGGAGAAGACGCTGCCGGTCGCAAAGGGTTAAAGAAGGGGGATTTTATTGATTGGGCGCCATTGGGTTTGGTTCTTTTCCCTCAGCTGGGCAGCGATCACTCGGCAGCCCGGAGGCTTTCCCTGCTTGCACCGGCCCTCAGTCCCGGCTCTCCCGGCAGCCCCAAATCCTCGGCTCTCTCCTGCGCTGGGCTTTTATTTTTATTTTTTCCCCCCTTCTCCTTCTTTGGGCTCCGTCCCAGCCCTTGCTGGGGCGCCACCCGAGCACCCCTCCCGGCTTTCGGGGTCGCTGCGGAGGTTTGAACTAAAATACCCTGGCGGCTTTTCCAGCCCCGCTTCTTTCGGGGAGCAAAAACCCGGGGAAGCCGGGGCCGGCCGTTCCCTGATCTTGCTCGAGGGGAACCCAAACCGAGAGCAAACCCGCAGCCGAGCCCGACCCGCCGGGCTCCGACGGCTCCCGGGGGCCGGGGGATGGATAGGGGCCGGGGAAGGGCTGGGATGGACGGGGGAAGCCCGGCCGCAGGTGGGAAAAGGGGGGAGAGGAAAAGTTGCACGTACCTTGGAACCTCTGGCCCAGATACCGGTAGCGGTGTATTAGCCAGGGGTAGAAGGTGGAGGGGTCCCTCTGCTGCGAGGCGAAGAGCGGGTGCGTGGAGTGCGAGGCGGGCAGCGGGTGGGCGGCCAGGGCGTGGGGAGGGGGCACGGGATGGACCGGCACGGCCGGGTTCGGCGGGTGCGAGACGGCCTCTGCAAAGACCAAGTCCGGGTTGGAGTAGACCCCCCTGCCGGTGGAGTGGAAGCCGTTGAGAAAAGGGTTCATCGGGCTGGAATTGGCATAGCTCAGCGCCGCCGGCCGGATAGGATCCTCGGAGCGAGACGCGGGCAAGGGGCTGTCTTTGGCCACCAGCGACTCGATGGTGAAACACCGCTTGGGTGCGGGCTGAAACATGCTGCCGCGGCGAGAGTCCCCGAGCGAATCTCTGCCTGGCTCTCTGGTGCGCGGGAGGCGATCCGGGGAAGTTTGCAGCAGGGAGTGACTTGAGGAGGGATAGATACACACATAAATAGACAGGGGCTGGAGGAAAGGAGGCAGCGGCAGCCAGCGGTACCCAAAAGGGAGACACACGCACGCACACACACACACACACACACAAGAAAAAAAAAAAAAAAAAGTTGCTGGGAGAAGTTTCCCTCCTGCAAGGAAAAGGCGGTCGCCCCCCCCTCCCTCCCTAAGTCCAAAGACAATCCATGGATGTGATCGGCCCCTTCACAAGTTGTGCAAACGATTTGTTAGTTCATGAGCCTAATTAGTGCTGGGATCACATAAACAGCTTCCTCTGAAGCCTGGTAAATGGCTTGATGATTGGTCGCTATTACTCGCCTTGAGGTTGAAGGGGGAGACTCTTTAAAGTGCGTCAGAGGGGAGGCGAGCGCCGGGCAGCGCCATCGGGAGGGATGGAGCCGCGGATCGGAGTGCGCCGGGAGCGCGCAGAGCGGCGCGGGGGGAGCGCGGCACCCGCCCGGCCCTGCCCGCGCAAGCCCCGCGCAAACCCCGCGCAAGCCCCGCGCAGCGCAGCGCGCCCCCGGCTGCGGGCGACCGAGGTAGGGGGACGGGGGCGGTGCGGGCTGGGGGGGCTCCGCATCTCTCCGCGGGGTGCGGGGAAGGGGAGGGAAGGAGGAAAGCAGCGCGGCTCCGCCGGCCCCCCCGGGGGTTACCTCGGTGTGCACGGAGCCCCGCCGTCCCGGGGGGGTGCCCCGCTCGGAGAAGGCGTCGTGTGCCGCTGCGGGGTCGGGCTGCCCTCCTCCTGCAAAGTTAGCGGTGCCCCCCCGCACGGCGAGGGGCCGCAGACAAAGCGCAGGGCAGCGGCATGGTGCGAGCCGGGCCCCGCCGGGCGCTCCCCTACGGGACAGGGGAGCGAGTCTCCGGTCCCGGCCCTGGCCGGATTTTCGCGATTACCTTTGGGTCCGGGGATGATTTTAGGGCTGAGTTCTCCTCCTCCCATTGGCTGGGGCCGCGGAATAATTATGATCACATCCTAATACTCTTGGCTGGTGCTTACTGTTTATTGGTAGTTAAGGATCTATTATCTATTCATCAGCCTCCCATTTTTGCCAATTACATTCTTCTAAAGTGAAGTACCAGCAGGTATTTTGCACATTTACAATTAATGATAAAAAATCTGGCGTGCTTTAAATCTATTACGCCGCTGTGTAATTTATCTTAAAGATGCAGAATTGCTAATGTAAATTAATGTTTCTGTCGAACCGAGGGGACGGGGGGAGGCTTAAAACCAGCCCAGCGTTTCTTTCCTTCGTTCACGCACTTTGTTTTCTTTTTCCTTCCCACTTTATCCACAAAGAATCCGTTACTCCGCCGCATTAAACCAGGCTCCAAATCGCTGTCGAAGCGGTACCGGGAAGGTCCTCGCTTCTTTCCAGTAAAGGGCGAGCTGAACTCTGGTCGCCTTCCCCGCTCCCCGATAGCTGATATTTTTAACACGACAGCAAACCGGGCTAAATAGATGGGACAAAACAGCGCCGGGCACGCGAGGATGCGGGGTTTTTACGCCTTTTGTTTAGGGACGCCTTTCCCTTTGTGTGCGCCGCGCTGCGCGCACTCGGTGCGGGGACAAGTTCGCTTTCCGTGTAAACATAAATGTGCTCCCCGGCCCGGGGCGGCTGCACCTACGGACACCACAGACACACGTGCATGCGATGGCAAGGACGAAGTGGGAGAGGTGCTCGCAGGGAAGGCGTAACTCAAGGTTTCTGAGGGATTTTGCAGCGCGGTGCGGCTCTCGCACGGTGGGGAGAAGCTCTCCTCCCGGCCGCCGGGCGCAGAAAGGCACGGCCCCGCCGGGCTGAGGCGGATTTGCCCCCTCTTGTGCCTTGGGAACAGCCCGAGGTTCAACTTTTCAAGTCCCCTCGCCCCTTTTCTTCAGCACCTCTCACCGAGCCGGCGGTACCGCCAGACGGCTGGCTGCGTTGGAAGGAGCCAGGCTCAGAAAGTGCCCTAAACACGGCGGGTGTTTGGGGTGCTGAACCCGGTGGGATCTCGGCTCCTGAGCACCGAAAAGAGAAAGAGAAACTTTTCTTTCTCGTAGGAAGAGACGCGATCTGCCTCTGCGTATTTACTCTTCCCCGGGACTGCAAAATGAATCTGAACTGGAAAAAAAAAAAAAACCTTCAACTATTTTTTTCCCTTTTTTTTTTTCCCTTTTTTTTTTTTTTTTCCAGACATCCTGAGATAATCACAGGGCTGCTTTGAAAATTGCATCGAGCAGTTCGGCAGCCGGGGAGGGAGGAATTACACCCGTGTGAAAACCATCCTCACCGGCACGCACAGGGAGCAGGGAAAAGCGGCCAAAACGCTCGCTCCTTTTCCCTCGCCCCTCTTCCCTGGGAAATATTCGCTAGGCTGAAATCCCCTCCCGGAGGGGGTCCCTTCGCTCTCGGGTTGAGAGGGGAAGGCCACAGCTGCTGCTCAGAGGGAGCAGGGACCTGGAGCTTCCCCTGCCCGGCCCGGCTCGGCCCGGCGCGCCCCGTACGGCGGCTGTGGCCGCTCCGCTCCGCGCCCTGCTCGCTTGCTGTGCCTGCTGTGCACATCCATACGTCCCTATACATCCCTATATATCGATGGATGTGCCTGCGTGCCCACGGACAGAGCAACCGCAGGGAGCAGAGCCTGGGGAGCACCGGCTCCCTGGTTTTGTCACGGAGAAAATAGGCCGGGAATGGTCGGAACAGAAACCAAGAGGGCTCGGGATGGGGTTTCCCTGTATTTTCCTGCATCCCCCAGGTTCCCCATGTCACTCTCCAGCCGTGTCCCGGGGCACCTCCCGCCGCTGCCTGCGCTGCCCGGGCCGGGGCCGCTCGGTGCCCACCGGGGCACGGCTCCCGCAGCTCCTCTCGGGGGCTTTGCCGGCCCCGCATCCCGACGGGCCGCTCTCCCCTGTCCTCTTGGCGTCTACAAGGAGAAAATCTGGCAGGGGCTCCCTTCCCAGCAATCCCCGATCTGCTCCAAACACACTTGGAGGCAGCCTCTCTCGGAGGGAGGGGTGCGCTACATTCGCAGTCAAATTACATGGCTGGCCTCAGAGGCAACTCGCTTCGGATTTCCAAACTAATACTCATCTTTTAAAAGCCGAGCCAAGAAGAAAATGCGAGGAAGGCCTCAGATGCGGGAGACCTCGGGGTAAGGCGGTTGTTTACGGGCTGATCCAAGCTGAACTTTGCCGGGTGGGGGCTGGCGGGGAGGAAAGTTTCAGCCTGCACGGAACTTTTCTTGTTCCAGGCTGGATTTGTCCGTCCCCGCTCCCCTGCTCGCAGGGAGCTGTGTCCGCAGCGGGGCGGAGAGGTGGCACAGTCGGGTCGTGCCTGGAGAGGGCTTGCGTGAATTAGCGGGGTTAAGCTCACAATTTAATTCCGTCCTGGGCATCCTAAAGCCCAGGAGGTAGGGCCGAGGGTGCTGCAAACCCTTCACAAAAGGGCGCTGCGAGAAGGGAGAGAGGAGAGCCGGGGCCGCGCAGCGCCGGGCCGGGTACCCGGAGCCCCCGGGGGCTCCGACGGGCAGGTGGATGTCCTCCGAGGGGGTCTCGCTGCCACAGCCCGGCTATCCAGCGTGGATAGCAGCCCTAAAACTCTCCGTTCCCATTATTTTGGCCCTGCCGTGATGGCCCAGCCTTAGCAGCACCTCCGAACAGGGGGATGCGGCGGGGACAAAAGAGGAAAAAAACGAGGCGTCGGGTGGCGACCCCGGGACTCACCACCGGGTGCCGGGGGAGCGGCTTTCTGCCGGCATCCCGCACCGCCCGGCCCCAGCGAAGCCTCTCCGGGCCCGTCCCGTCCCTGCCCGGGGCTCGGTGGCGGCGCATCCGCGGGCCCGGAGCATCCGCGGGGCGGCAGCGCCCTCTGCCGCCGGCAGCTCCCTTCCGCGGAGCCCTTTTTGCGCGCATCAGCCGCAAATTTGCGCGCCCCGGGCCGTCGCCGGTCCCCGCGGAAGGCCGCTGTCCCGGCCAGCCTCGGCCACAAGCAGCAGCGCCCGTCCAAAAACCCCGCAGCTCCGGGGATGCTCGCAAGCCACCCAACCATCCCCTGCGCTTTTTTTCTTCCTTTTTAATTTGATTTTGTTCTTCACACCTCGTGGCTCGCTGCACGCCGTTGATGACAACGCCGTCGTGCGCTCCTGGATGAGGGGGGCGTTTTAAAATTATTTTTTTTTATTATTTTTTTTCCCACCACCTGCCGGCTGCGTCCCTGGCGGGGCACCGGCAGCCGGGTGCTGAAGGCGCGGAGGTCCCGGCTGCCCTGCGAGCTGCATGTTCCTGAGGGCATCTCCACTGCGAAAGCCCCGATTCTGTCACCAGGGCTCTCTCGGGATGGGAAGTCACCAGACTCAAAAACTCAACCGAGACCCGGGGCAGCGCTGCCGGGCAGCCGGGGCCGCACCAAGAGGGGGCTCCGCGCATCCCGGGGGATCCCGTGCGGGCAGAAAGGTGCTGGGGGAAGCAGCGGTGTGTGCAGAAAAACTCTTGCACCTGATGCTTCTCTCGGTGGAAGGTCCCAAAGGAAAAACGAGAGTCCCCCTCGCAGTCCCTCTCTGCACTTGGGCTGCTCCGCACCGGGGTGCACAGCATCCATCCTCTTCCCTATGCGGCCAGCTGCTGCCCTCACCCTCTGTGCCCCCACCCCGGCTCAATATTTCCCCCCCAAATTAGTGTTTCCCAGCTCCGGAGCGAGCTGTGCGGCTCCGATGCGTGGAGTTGGTTAAAAAAATGAGTTTTCCTGCCCTGCCCGGTGCCCGCCAGTTCCAATCCCAAAGCCCCTCCAGCTCCGGGGCTCGGCCGCCCGAGGTTTGCCCGGCGGCGGCGATGGCACCCGCCGGGGCTGTAGTTGCAAACTTTTCTCAACTTTGCTCCGGACTGAATTTACCGCCGTCGAAACGGAGAGGAAAAAAATAATTCTTCAAAAGATTAATTTTCTAAGGAAAAATAGAAAACTGCACTATCATTTAACATTAGCTCCGCTCGGCACTTTTCGTTGCTATTGGAGTGCTTTGAGTTTCTCCTCGAGACGTTGAATTTTGTTAGTGTTGCCGGTGTAAAGTGCTCCCAAAGGGCCCGATCCTGCCGTCCCGCCAGGGCATGTTTGCTTTTCATTTCACGGCGCGTTTTGCTGGCTATCAGGGAGGGTCGTTGCTATCTTCTGCGGGATCGAGGAGTTTTTATGCAGCGCACGGTGCCATGCGCTGCGGCTGACCCTGCTGGGGGCAGTCCCCGGGGAACCCCAAATGCCATGGGGCCGCTTCTTCATCCTCAGCCGGCAGCTGCGGACCCCGCAGCTCGGTCGAGCCCCGCGGCAAGTGAGCTCTGCCCCGAGCCCCCTTCCCCTCCGCCGTTAGCTCAGTGGCCCGTTCGTTTCTGTCTTCCCTCTCGCCCATCGGCTGGCGAAATTCGGGCTTGCAAAGAGCTGAGGACATTGCGGGGGGATTTATTCTGCACCCCTCACCACCACCGGCACCACCTCCAGGCATCTACCTCCCGGTGACCCGCATGAGGCCGAAGGGGTTTGCAGTGAAGGAAGCGGAATAACTCTCAGATAATTCTCCAAGCTTCCAAAGTACAGCGCTTCGATATTAGCACGTTAAAGTGCCGTTTAGTGTAGTAATCAATACGGATTTCATTGTAAATCACGATTTATTTATTTTTTTCGAGGACTTGAAGAACGTAATTGCTTGCAGTGGCACCTTAAGAATCGAAAGCTAAGTGTCCTGCTTTGACACGCATAACCTTGCCGAATTCCTTCCCTGGCTGACGTGTTCCCAAATTTTCAGGCTTGCAGGGATGTGCGCGCTGTGGAACTCGTAAAGCTTGCTTTAAAAGAGAGCTCCTAAAGCAAAATCAGCCTTTTCCGTGGATGTTTTAGGCCCCCGAGACCCGAGGTGGCTTTTTATCCGTGCATAATCTATGTCCCACAAATACGTGCGGGCTGTTTCTTAAACTGCGTGCGCGATTCCATCGGGTTGCCGCTCCGTTACGTGGTGTTGGATGCTTCCCATCCAACAACCGCATTCAACCCTAGGTTAGTCCCTAGTTAAAGGCTCTTTTACCATCTACATTTGTTTTTTTTTCTTTCCTGGAGGAAAAAAAAAAAAAAAGTTTAAAGCTTTTTTAGGAGTTTCGGCAAACTTCACCCCGGCGCGGTGCGTAAGGGAGGGGACACCTGGGGCAGGGGTGACTGCCTTTTTTCAGGTCGCCTCCCTGCCCGTTCCCGTCGGGGCACACGGCTCACAAACCGCCTGGCCGCCTCTTTGCGCCCCAGGAACAAAGGGCGAGGTCAGGCCCCTCCGGGGGAGTCCCCGCAGAAGCGCTGCACCCTCCTGCGCGCACCCCGCTCCACGGGCGCGGACGAGCACCGGGGCTACGCAGCTTGGCCGACGCCTTGCCAGCCTCCAGACCTCCCTGCAGGCCCCCGGGCACAGCAGCCGGGTGGCAGGGCCATGCCGAAAGAGCCTTTGCGAGGGGCGTTTGCTGCGGGAGCAGAGGCTGGGCTCGGCGGGGGCTGCGCGCCCGAGCCCCACGGCGCAAGGGGGGAGCGCAGCGCTGAGCGCCCGGCGGACCGGGGTCCTCTGGAGCAAGGAAGGGCAGCGGGGGTGCTCCGGGGCTGCCGACCCCAAATCTCGCCCTGGAGCTTTGCGGGGCTGCGGAGGCGCCGGGGAGCCGGCCTGTGCGCTCCCGCTCTGCGGCCGTTGAGCCGGCAATCGAAAGTGACCCCCTCGCCCAGCTCCTGCGAGGTCTGGGCTGTTTGATGCTGGAATCCAACGAAAGTCTGAACTCGAGGGGTAATTTTCTCCATATGGGCAAGCGAGCGCTCACGCAGCGGCTCTCTCCAAAAAAATTGCCTACCTCCGAATGTTTTTCACTTTCCACAGACAGTTACGGAAAAAAAAAAAAAAAAAGGAAAAAATAAAAGTAAAGAGAGAGATCATATGGTGAAGAAAGTGCTTTTTCTCGCAGGTCGGAGGAGGCGGCCAGGCTGCCCCGCCGGCGCAGGCTGCGCTCCCAGCAGCGAGCACCCGCACCGCGCAGCGGGCGCCTCCGGCCGGGGTCCGCGGGGGTCGCGGAGGGGGAGATCCCCCCGCAGACAAAGCGAGGGATGGAGAAGGCCTGGAGCTCCGCGTGGGAGGCTGCGAGGAGCCTGCTGAGTGCCGCAGCAGGAGCGACGCTGCTGAAAATGTGCTCGGCAGCTTCTCGGGGAAGCGGAGCCGAGCCCCGGGCAGGGCTGCCCGCAGCTCCCCTCGTCTGCAGGGCGCAAACGGGAGAGCGGAGGCCGGGCCGAAGGCAGGGAGGCGACGAGGCAGCGCTCCATGGGCCTCCCGGCCTCCCTCCGGGAGCCTCGCACGGGAGGGTTTTCCCCTTCTTATTTCGCGAGGAAGAGGAGAAGCTGGCCGAGCAGGGAGGGTTTGGGGAAGGCTGCAGCCCGGCCGCCGTGCGGCATCGCGGGGAGAGACCCAGCCGCTGCGAGGGGAGAAGGAAAATCACGCCCTCGCACTCGATATGATTATATATTTTTTATTATTTTTTTTTATTTTTGTAAGACTTAAGTGAAGCTACCCGACTTGTTAGCCGTTCGCTCCGTCCAGCCAGGGCATCTACAAGCGGGGATGTGCACGGAGGAGGCAGCCGGCACCCGCTGGTCCCACGGCGGCACCCAAGGGCTCCGCGCAGCGCATTTCCGCAGCCGGGGCTGCTCCTTTCCAACGAGCAAACCTGCCGCGTTTGTTCGGTTGTTCGGTGCTTTGGTTGTAAGAGCCGTGCCGTTTTTCTGCTCGCAATTTAGCTGCCAGGGAGCCTTCTGCTCCCGGCGATCGCCGCCGTGACGTTGAGTTATGGAAACACTACAGGTGTTACCGTGGTGCTGGGGAATTAATTCGCCTTCCTTCCCCCCCTCCTCCTTCCCGGAGTTATTTCCTAGCCTTCCCAGATAGCTGGGAAAGGGTCCCACATACCCCGGAGCTGTAAATTGAGCGCTGAAATCCTTGATCTCGCTGATTCTTTGGAGAATTAAATCTGGCCTCAGTTTACGGGAGGAAGCGAAGTCAATCTCGGAGGTTTTGCGAAGAAAGGCTGTTATTTCCTACAGGATAGGCGTTTAAGTTGTTAAATATTAGTTTTTAATTACATATTGTTCTTTTAA